GTGGAAGCCACCTTTCTGAGCGATCGTAAACGGAGTCATGTAACAGTCACGGTAAGTCTACCACCTGTACGTTTCTTTTAAGTGCCAGCGGTTTTCCAGTTATAATTAAATTTCAACCTACAACCTGCCACCTGCAAAAAAGACCTGCCGTCTGCCTGAAGCCAGAATAATACGAGTCTAATTTCAAAAAAAGGTTGAACAGACTGTTAGCACATGGTGCATTTGGATTAAAAACAAAAATTGCAAAATTGGTAGACAAAACAGCAAAGGCCTACCTTCTGCTTGGCCAGCTTGAGCTTGAAGCGATCAAAGTCAGTGAGAGTAGTTCGCTTCTTTTTCGTGACCAGTTTCTTAGCCCATGCTGTCTTCTCCCATTTTTCAAGGATCTCGCCTTTCTCAAAGGCCTTCTTAACTGGGCCACTTTTGGCAGAGGGGCCAACCTTGACCTTGAAGTCGGTCAGTGACAGGTGCTTGAAATTAAGGGCCTTGCGGCAGACATTGGTACAAGGCCCATCAATCAGTGCCTGTTTGGAAAGGCTTCAGTTTAGTTCTCTTGACAGACTCAGACTAAAATAAAATTCCAGTATAAAAGCAAGGGTGCTCATATGCACATGTACACTGTACATGTACACTGTACATGTACATGATAAGCCAGTTCAAGGCAACACAAAGACACAGTGCTTACAGATTTTGATCAATATTAAGCTTTTACCAATACCAGCTTTTACTGACTTCCAAGAGGATGGATAGGGTCAACCTCGTGTTAATCTTATCGTGGTTTACATGGGTATATTTATGTTTTCTTAAACATTGTGTTTTCTTAAACACAATAAAGACAAACGGACTAAACACTGTTCTCTTATAACTATGGCACCCACAGTAAAAGCTCAGCAAGACTCATTAAATCTTAATTTAATTTTCCTGATTCCATGTTGGAATTTGCTGATGATGTATTTTCAAAAAAAAACACAAAAGATTGCTGATAAAGATAGGCAATGATGATGTTTCTAGAGAAAATGGACCCAAAATAATTCCCAAGCAAAGTTTTTTTTTCCCCAGGCAAAGTTACTGTATTTTCATTGTTTAAGAAAAACACGGATGTTTTTGTGAAAATGTCATGGGAAGAAAAAATATGGTAAGTACAGGGCTGTTTCTTGTTGAAATTGTAAACAATAAGTTTGGTACTGGTTCTTTTGTTGTTGTTGAAGTAGTAGTTCAATATTGTAAGCTTTCACCAGAGTAACATTAGCAAATAAAGTGCTGCTCAACTGTTGGGTCCAGGATTTGATTCCCTATATTTCTTTCACAATGAAAATAAATCAAGTTTACAGGAATTTATGAATACATGTACTGGTGATTCAATTTGAAGTTTGCAGAATTCAAAGAGGAAGATTGGCTTAAATGAACTGCCTTCAGATCGGGTCAGCAAACATTTATGTTAACCAAAGTTTACAAGTATGTTGGAAAGTAAAATCAAGTGTCAATAATTACTCAGACACTCAGTCTTCATATGATTCCTGATTTCAGTATATTGTGACCCATTCAAAAGATTGCAACACTTATGGTAACAAAACTATAGCTAACTACTTTAACCAAACAAAAAACACCCATAGGATGGTACAAGAGTCCAACAGTCCGAAGGAAATTCTGATCTTACATGTAACCAAACAACTAATTATGTACTGGGCTCTCAAAAAGTAGAAAACGTAAAAACGTGAAAATTAAAACGTCGACAAACTGCATTGATTTAACCATGAAATAACTTTCTCTGCTGCTGGGCACTAAGTTAACATATGAGTTGCGATTTTATACTTCAGCCAAACTTGGAGCTTAGGAACTGAACTTCATGATCAGCAAATAGTCTTAAGTACAGTATGAACCAACTGATCAGCACATGAAATACTCGGCGCAATTAACAGACTGTAACAAAAATTTCTCCAAAGTCACAGAGTGCACTTGCATAGCAAACTCACGTACTCGATTTTGATCCACCACATCTACGATCACACACAGTTTCCCCTCGTCGGGTCCCGAGTTTATGAGAGCCACACGACCAATTTCCACTAAACGCTTGTACACCTGAAGGATTCATCCAGAAAAGATGAGCACAATTAGACATTACTAAGGATAGTTATTTTGTCGAATACTTGGCAATGTTTTCACACGTGGACTCACCATCTTGGAATATCGGCGAGAAAGGACGAATTATTAGCAAAGCCCCGGATGTGTAAGGAACGGGGCGCAAAGCATTGTGGGTGTACTGGAAGTTAGCCGCTGGTTGGCATAAATGACAGCGCAGGTGAAAATTGATAATAGCACTTTCATGTAGGTTATGATGGGTCGAAAACTGAAAGCCGAAAGAATTTGCGAAAAACTAAAATCGACAAGCAAAAGTCGATTAAGTTGAAAACGCAGCTTTATTTCTAAGGTTAGGCCTACCGTCCACACTGATCCGTCACGAAAACGGAGCTTTTCGAAAACGCTCTTCAAACCGGAGGAATTTGACAAGGCTGGCTTTACGTTTTTATGCAGACGGAAAACATTTTAAAAACGGAGCGTTTCGAAAGCAATGGCCTCACGATAATCGTGTGCTTTCCCTGACCAAACAAAAATACAAAATGACCAGTTATTGGTACGTTTTCAAATTCCCCCAGCATAGTGTGGACAGAAAAAAATTGGGATGTGTTGTCAATGTGAAACCGTGGCTCCGTTTTCAAACTTTCCCCGCGTAATGAGGATGGGGCCTGAGAGGAAACTGGCGCAAGACTCTAGTATATTCTTTTTTCCTCTCGCTTTTCCCTCGCTTCATTTTCGCACGAAGAAAGAAGGCATTTTTGACAACCTTACGTTTTATCAAAAGAAAAATTTTAAAATGCTCAACAAAACAAGAAGTATGATGTCCACGGATTTCGTCCCTAGTAAACTCCTGCTAATGTTGAGTACAATAAATGAGCTTTTTTAGTTTTCAAACATGTTACTCTGTTCGCAGTCCCACTATCGTCCTTTAATTAGAATCAGTTACCGTAGGTTTTCAAATGCCTCGAATAAACGCCGAAGGTGTTAATTTAACACCCATTTTATTCAACGTACACGTAGTTACAATCACGGTCTAACAGGCTAACACCTACTTTTATACATTAGCATGCAATTTTATTAAATTATTATTATTATCCAGCAATTAAGTCTGGAACAGGGTATGAAAGTATTCCCCGTTTGAACTGAAAAAAAAAATCAAAGATTCAAGTAGAGGACTCAAATGCACAATCAAAAATACTGTCCATGCAGATTAAACGTGTCAACCCGGAAAATCCAGTTAGGATCAAACTAAACTAGGAATGCAAATATAAAACGGGATTTCACCTTTTTTTTAAGGGAACGTTTGTATCTCATTAACACTTAGAGCTCAGTAAAGGGTTATGGTTGTTCTTATGAATGCACCGACAGGCTTATGTTGAACACTAATCTGTGCAAGCCTCAGTTGAAGTGAAGCACCGGGGGGAGAAAAGCCGAAAAGTCCAGGACGCCCTTCGAACGCTTAGAAGTGTAAATCACGGATTTGATCTCACTTGTACTTGGGATGTTCAGGTGAAAAAGACACTGTTTTTAGTTGTCGACTGATCCCCGACCTTTTCAAATGGGAATCCCCCCGGGGATGGAGCATCGTGCATTGTCGGGGGTACGGGTGTTATCGATTGAACAAATTTCCACATAGCGATCACGCTATCAGTAAGATCGGAAGTTTTGATTCTTACAAATTTGTTCTTAGAGTCAAATAAAAGTTGGCTAAGTTTAAAAAGATAGGAAAGCGCTATAGAAATACTTATTAAAAGAAGTGCAATAGTTGCGTGCCTTAAAATTGAATAAAAGGACTGAAACACGTGACCAACTGTCAATCCAAGAGGTTTTATGGTTTATTATTTAGAATGTGGTCAACAAAGCTTCGAATATGGTGAAATCCTCTTTGGTCAGTTTTTTTTTCCTTTACCTGAGATTTCACAAGGTAAGGTAAAGGTAAAGTCTGCATGCGAGCCAAGTGGCCCATCAGGCCGGAGCTTATCCCGGTTTCTGTAGCATGAAGCGACTAGGAGTATTTCTA